ATAAAATATACCAATAATGAATCAAACCAACTAATTACGTATCATTTAAATCACCTGATGTATATGGACGATATTAAGCTGTATGCATCATCACTAGATGACCTACATAAATTAGCTAAGATAACCGAATGTTTTTCTAAAGACATTCATATGACATTTGGAATAGATAAATGTAGAATTAATTCACTCAACGCCAGACAAAACCAAGAGCTTAATTATCTATTAGAAAACGGTCAGCTGATACATTCATTACAACAGGACGAAGTTTACAAATACTTGGGTTACAATCAGTCAAACGAAATAAAATCTAAACAAGTTAAAGCTAAACTAATTCAAAACTTTAAGCATAGATTAAACATTTTACTGCGATCACAGTTATATTCTCGTAATCTCATCAAAGCAATAAACACTTACGCCATACCTATCCTTACATACTCTTTTGGTATCATCAAGTGGTCAAAAGTCGAACTTAAAAATATCCAACGCATAATAAACACTAGCATGACGAAATGTAGAAAACACCACCCTCGAGCCTGTGTTCAGCGTCAAACATTACCCCGCGCTGAAGGAGGTAGAGGTCTCATAGATGTGTCTAACTTGCATAATAAACAGATTACTATACTTCGGACATATTTTCATCAAAGATCGGCACAATCTACTCTACATGAAATAATAGTAAATATTGACAAGAAATTAACACCTTTGAATCTACAAGATAAAAACACCCAGAAAAATGAGAATCAAGTATCTAATCAATTTAAAATAGATGAATGGTCTCGGAAATCTCTGCACGGAAGACATCGCCATGACTTGTGCCAACCTAATGTTGACAAGGTTGCATCAAACGCATGGTTGAGGCGTGGCGAGCTTTTCCCGGAAACCGAGGGATTTATGATATCCATACAAGATCAAACAATAGAGACTCGGAATTACCAAAAACATATAATGAAAACTCTAATGCAAAACACAGACTTATGTAGAAAATGTAACAGCTCTCCTGAAACAATACAACATATTACTGGTGCATGCCGAACAATAGTACAGACTGATTATAAGCACAGACATGACCAGGTTGCTAATATCATCCATCAGCAAATAGCCCAAATGCTTAAAATTACAACGAACAAACCTGTACCATATTACAAATATATACCAGAAACAGTTATAGAAAACTCAAATTATCGTCTCTATTTTGACCGTGCTATATTAAGTGACAAGACAATCCACTATAATAGACCGGATATAACTCTTCATGATAAACGCAGTCAATCGGCTTTTATCATTGACATAGCTATACCAAATACCCACAATCTACAGAACGCGATAGCTGAAAAGTTAACCAAATACATTGAGTTAAAAGACGAAATAAGAAGAATGTGGCATCTTAAAACCGTTACCATAGTTCCAATCGTACTCTCAACTACTGGTGTAATTCCAAAACAATTATTTCAATCTCTTAAAGTACTGAACCTTCCTTTATATACATATTTTAATCTACAAAAAGCCGTTATATTAAACACATGTAGAATTGTTCGTAAATTTCTACAAACGGATAATGATATAGGCAGTAGTATCCCCACATCGTTTGACATTATACAAAGTCATGTCCAAGCGCCACGTCTGCCACAACACATACCTCAACGACACAGTATTACTTTAGATACTTAATTACCATACAACAAAAGCTATCCCACTAACACTTGGCTATGGCCCGTGTTAGCTGAGAATACCGGCAAAGCCGAGATTTTCAAACGAAAATAAAAAAATAATAATACTATAATACTACTGCATATTCCGAGGTCCTGGGTTCGATAAATCGGGATCGGCTATATATTCGTTTTTCTCACGTTGGCAGTGATCTCCCTCCTAATCTCTCACCGGCCATAAGAAATTGCTCTACCGCTCGTTGGCAGTAAGAGATAAAGAATGATAGAACATAACTAGTATCAGCGCAGATAATCTCAGAAAAATTGGTCGCCGTGAACGAAAAACAGCCAGAAAGCCTATTATTATAATAAAATTCAGTATATACATTCAGTTTAGCATAAAAATAAAACAAAATAATAAATTTGTTCAGTTTATTCTTAACTTTAATGCAGACTAGAATAATACTCTTAGAAATGAGAACAACAATAGTTATTTCACATGTTAGTGTACCTACAATATATCAGCTTTCACAATAAAATGCTATTTATTATCTGTGTCTCCAATGTAAATATAAACAAATCTTATTCACAACAGCTAGCAATATAAAATTACATCAGACTGTACTATTTATATATATATTTAACACAGGTGATAAAGGGCGTGACCGATGACTATCAATTGAACAATCGAATCAATTTTGATAATCGATTTTTTTTCAAGATATTAATCAATGAAAATAATAGACACCGGTCGTAACAGCAACACAACACAAAAAGGGGTTAAGTTGATTACAATTATACTACAATTATATAGAAAGCATCAAAACTTTGGATATAGAGAAGCGGAATGAAAATACTAAAGGGGTGGTCCTTATATTATTAGGTTGTCAAAATATCGATTTTCATTTATTTATACATAAATAAAACTCGTCCTCAGAGCGCTAAGCTTAGCTAAGGGGACATACAGATTACACAGTTACCGCTATAGCCACACTATAAAATTTACAAAATATGACATTTTTGAAACGCTACACGAAATAATGCTTTATATATCCACTAATCAATTCATATATCAATGATCACTTCCGAGATTCAACTCGACCGAGACTCGAATCCCGACTATATAAGATACGTCACTATGGATAGAAATCCATCAGTCGCACTAATCAGCTATGTTCTCAACTTATATTATTTATTGGTGTTTTAAACGTATAAAAATAAAAAAACGAATCAAAAAAAACCACGACTAATATGGAATGATATTTTTCAAAATTCTAAATAATATGGCAACACTTGAACTAAAAGCTATGACAAGAAAGATACTTATTGTCTATGGCAGAAAGGCAACGGCTAGTGCAATGCAGATCAATTTATATTTGATTTTAACTTATTTTAATAATATCTAAGCGGATATGAGCGATTGTTTCTCAAATATAGGTATACAATGAATAAATTATTAAATGGGAATAATATGTATACACATTTGATAATAACTTCTTGCGGTTTTTGCACTTGCTTGATTTTTCAAAAAAATATTATGCATTCATAGTGCTTTATTAAAAAAAATACTTACACAGATGTAAAATAGTTTTTAAAGCTTAGGTTTGTTCCTAAAAACGAAGCCTACAGATTATTACAATTCATTTTAAACAAAATTTACATGTTTTTGTTTTTTTTTTATTTCTTTTTATTTAGAAGCAAATGATCGCAAGCAAGTGCAAATTTTTCCGTCCAAATACATTAACTTATAACTAATCTTATTTAGCCACGTAAGCATTGTAAGCATTCCGAACTTAGACATGACATCACTTATTTTATGAATTTGAGTATTCTTTTAATAGCTAAACTAAAAGTCCAATGAACTTATTATTACAAACTTCATTTATTATTATCGAAATATAGTTTTATTTTCATAAAATACATTAAAAAATTTATTCCACAACGACAAATGTCATTTGACACATAAATATAGATAAAAAAATTAAAAAAAAAATGGAAAACGAAGAGAGTATTTTTTGTATAATATTTGCAATATTAAACAATATTTTGTTATAATAAGTTCGTATGGACCTAACTTGGCTATTTAACGCAATCCAGGGCAGTTACACACGATATGTATATCAAATACAAATTAGTATTACGAAATGATATCTATCACATCGTTATAATAGTGAGCAATAATAAAATACTATGTTACATCTAACTATTCGAAACAGAAATAAGTCGATTAGATGTCTTATTAAATGAAAACATCGATTTTAAATATTTGTAAAATAAACATATTCTAGTAAAACTTTAAATTTGTGTTAGGGTTTTTTTAAATTTAAGTTAAAAAAAAAAGTTTTTTTTTAAATATACATTTGTTAAAAATTTTATTCCCTTTAATATTGCATTATGACGTCTAATTCCAATTTAGCAATTTGAAACTAATCGTAGATAATATTGCATATTGTAGACTTTTTCTTTAATAATCGAGTATAGAAAGCATAAAATTCCAAAGAAACAATTTGATATGACGCGAAGGGAAATAGTTTAGTTCAAAAAATTCTCTACGCCATAATAATAATAATTTAAGCTGGATATATTTATCGAATACAAATAATTACTTTTAACTAAAATGAAACCAATTTCAAAATTAAATTAATAATAATTATAATTCTTTCTAAACACAGCTCCTCCTTCTTTAAAATCGGTCTAAAACAACAAAACTTTAACTCAACTTACGCATCGGATATTATATATATTGTTATCGGATATTATATATATACAAAATATATTGTTTTATTTCTCATATCGTGGCATTTCAATACATAATTTCACGTAATATTATCACTACGCTATTATTTAGTTCGTTATAAGACAATAAACAAAAAGTCTACAATACTGCCATTCATAAGAAAAAAGAAAAATATAATATCACTTAGATAACACTCTTTATAAAATACGATATATTTCAATTTATATAAAAAGTTATACATTCGTAAAACAACATACATTATATTATAGATAGTGCGTATCGGATTACACGCATTGTTAGCTAGGCCTTTTAAATACAAGGATTACTTAAAAAAAAAGAAATTAAACCTTTTTTCTACATTCCAATTTTAAACGTCATTTGTATCGACAAAAAAAATAAAAAAAAAGAACAAAACCCTTTCTATAATATATAATCTGTCAAATAAAAACAATTGTCGCACAGATTATATACATACGTCGTTACATAATATATAATCTGTGGAATGACAATAAAAATATAGGAATAGAAAGATAACAAAAGCGATATAACCCGAGGCGCACAGTGTACGAGTATACATACTTGTGTAAGTGCCCCACGCAGGCACTTATGGCGCGTTAGATGAACACGGGATTCTCTTGGCCAGTCAGCAGCCGGAACATTGATGTCGGCATTGTTTTCATTAGTATCTGAAACACGTAGAAATTGTATAGACAAATAAATGATATATTTTTTTTGACTTCGTTATAGATTTAGTTAGTTACGAGTCTATGGGGTCTAATCCTAATTACGAATCTGAAATCAATATAACACATTACACATTTATAATAATCAGGTAAAAAATGGGACCCAATCAATAAAATCAAATATACCCTCACATACAAACTTTTTGTTGAGCAGTATCCTTATCTAGTTATTTGCTTTATTTCAGAACAGAGCGAATGGATTTGTTTTAGAATCTCATGAAAGAAATAATATGACGATTTCATATTAGTTATATTATTTTAATTTATTTATTATAATCTTATAGTTTCTATTTCTCTTTCTTTAATACAATTTGTTAATTATTGTTATAAATTCACCTGTATTGTATCTTCACTCAAAACTTTGATATATGATGTATTATTGTAACATATTAAACTAATATTATTGGTTAAGCTTTATAATGTTTTTCATTTCATACATTGTAATAAAAGTTTGTTTCCTAAAAAAAATATAAATGAATTAATAAATAAACTGATGGATTAATCAACGAGAGAATGAACGAACGAATGAATGACCGAATGAACGTGCAAAGAGTGAGAAGCGTACCTCCCCGACGGAGGTGGCGAGCAGGTTGACGATGCGCTCGTGCGGCACCGCCACCACGCTCTGCGAGTTGATCTCGATGATGCGGTGTCCGACGCGCACGCCGCCGCGCTCCGCGATGCCGCCGCGCAGCAGGCTGCAGATCTGTTACAACACACTCCCATCTATTGTACTATATTCTACTCTATAGCTCGGTTCGAGCCAAGTTTAATTATTGAGTTTTTCTCTTAATATATTCTCAGTAATAACCCGGAGTTGAGAAGTTGGCGGTATTTCACCCCCAGAGCTCGTAAAGCCGTCGGTTCTACGCCTGATTTCTCTACGGTAATGTCGAAGTATCATCCCATCGGGGTTTGAGAGTGGCAGGAATAGAGTGTACGTAGTGTCTGTACTACGCATACACAGACACACGCGCTGCACTATAATATCTTCTGCGCACCATTCATTCATACAAATATATGTATTTATAAATATGCACTATGACATATAGGCTAACGCACGGGGTTACGTACTGGGGTCATTGAGAAGGTATACTAATTTTTCATTTTCCATCAGTTTCGAAACGAAAGTGAAAATTTTGACAGAATATTTTTATAATCACATCTTTTTAAGTTTTGTCTACATCCAGGTACACCCACTTGTGTTAACACGCATCCTTATGCACTGTTATATTTGCTAACTGACACGTTGGTTTAGTGGCTAGCATGTACAACTGCAGATTCGGAGGTGTTGGGTTCGAGTACCTGGTTAGACCAATTTATTTATCGAGTCTTTCTGTTAGGGAAGTTGGCGGTGTTTTACCTCCGTGCCTCAGAGAACAAGTTAAGCCATAAGTCTGTGTATCCATACCTCACCGCGATTATCGAATAGTAGTTGATTTTGAAATTTGAGAGTGAAGGCACGAAAGGTACACTTGTATTTGTTATTTACATATGCCCTGCAATATAATATATAGATAGAAGGCTAATCTCAATTACTGTTGTCGTCGACACCAAAATCGGTCAGGAGGCCATTATTATTATACACTAGCGACTCATCCTCGCTCCGCTCGGGTTCGTCCCTCCTAAAGTTTTAAGGTTTAGTTTTGGATTTCTCAGAGATGACATATTTTCCCGCAGTAAAAACTATCCTATATGTTGACCGGATAACCAGCTATCATCATACCAGATTTTATCAAAATCCCTTCAGTGGTTTTTTCGTGATGTGGTAACAGACAGACAGACAGACAGACAGACAGACAAAAATTCTAAAACTATAATTCAGCTTCTGTATCGATAATAATGTCTATTTCAATAATATTTTCCAAAGAATATTTAATGTACAGATTCGGCTTAGTTACAATTTTATTATATGTATAAATATACATAATATATGTATATACCCACCACACCGTTCTGCACACTGAAGCCTAACTGATACTTGGTGTCCGGCCGTTTTATCTTGACCTCCACAACGGGGGCGCACGGCACCACCGTGAGTTTCACCACTGTTTGGTTCTTCGAGTTCTTTATATACGTCTGACACGTTGACAGAGGTAAGCCGACCAGACTGACACCGTTGATTGCTATTATTTGATCGCCTAAATAGATACAGATAATTTTTTTTATTAAATATTAACAAAAAAACGATTTTAGGTTTATTTTTAAAAATACATATTATGTACAACATAACTTACTAATATTATAAATGCGAAAGTTTAGATGGATGTTTGTTACTCAACGCTAGAACGGCTAGACAGATCTTGATGATATTTGGCACTGAGATAGATTATAGTCTGGAATAGCACTTACGCTACTTTTTATCCCTTATATACATTTATAGATTAGTTTTCGTTTTTACTTACATTTATAGATTAGTTTTCGTTTTTCTAGAGGCGAAACGAGGGTGAGCCGCTAATTCATTATAAAAAGAATCATGGAAATCAGATCACAATTAGCGAAAATATCACGTCTCATCCATATCAGAACCCACATACATACATCGTTCAAAAGTACCTCCTCTATTTTTGTATTAAGCCAAAAATAATTCAGAAAAAAAAACAAAAAACATTTTTTTTTTATTGAACACAAAAAATACACCAACAGCGAAATCACATGAGTAAATATATGATCCACTTCCACATAAGGCGACAGTGTATGCGTTTTGAGCGTGACGCGATCGGCTCGAGATGTCAACAGTCGAGTCGGAAAAAATGGTTTTGTCAACGGACAACGTACGTGAACTATATGGCGGAATTAAGTACCTGTTCTATTTTTGAATTCAGTCATAAATTACTCAGTATAAAGCTCAAATAACATTATTATGTTTTAAATTTTAAATAAAACTATCTTTTCGGATTTTTTCGCGTATTTATTTTGATTTTTGGTTCCCTATATTTCGAATGCTTTACAGCAATCATGGTCACGGGAGAGACTAAGGTTTTAGATGTCTCAAAGGCATTCTCAAAGGCATTATAAAGTTGTTACAGTCAACCTACCTACAAAATAAGAAATTTTATAATTTTCGATTCGATATAATTATCGAAAAAAATCCGAAAAGATAGTTTAATTAAAAATCCAAATAAATATTCGCGTAAATCTCAGAAAGTATTATTTGTTTTTAAGCTGAGTTGGTTAGTATAAGTTGATAAATATTTACTAAGAACAGCTTACCAATATTAAGCTGTCCGCACCTCGCGGCGGCGCCGGCGGGCGCGAGGTTGGCGATGACGACGGTGGGCAGCATCGACCCCCAGCCGGACTCCACCACCACCACGCCGAGGATCTCACCCTTCGTTTTGGGCACCACCACCTCTTTTTGCAGTTCCTATTCAAAACAATGTATTTTTTTAACGTCCCATGTTTATATATGTCTCTTTCATGACCATCAATGTCCCATTCCAGACAATGCCGTCATAAATGGGAAATATCTTAAGAATTTTCGAATTTGACTGATATTGTTTGATATTGTTTTTGGTTTATATTTTGAAACATGAATAGATAAAGTTACGTAATATATGTAAAAGATTTTTTATTATACCTCATTTATTGCTCAAAACCTTACACTTAAAAAAAGGTCCCATTCATGGCACCTTTCCCATATATCCCGAGATACATTAAGGCAGTGGTAGCCCAGTGGTAACGCGCTCGCTTGGGAAACCGAGCGAAGACGGTTCAAATCCCGCGTCTCGTACCTGTGATATATTCATGTGCATATCCAACATGATTGCCACTTGTCTTAACGGTGAAAAAAAACATCGTGGGGAAACTGGCATGTCTAAGAGAACCTGGCAAGTTTTCAAAAAACATGTAAAGTCCGCCCGCACTTGGCCAGCGTGGTGGACTATGGCCTGATCCCCCTCGTATTGAAGGGAGGCCCATGCCCAGCAGTGGGACGTTAAAAAGGGCTGAATACAAATCACGAGTGATATACTAAGGACACATTACATGAGTATTTTTAAAGCTTTTTTTTCTTTACTTAATAAATACAACATAATGTAAGTATAATTTAATGCTGTCTCCAGCAATGGTACTCTTTCAGTTAACTTAAAAACATATATAACTTACCTTTTTAGCAAACATCTGAAGCTCATCACCGAATATCTCCTGACTGTTCAGAACTTCTTGATAATCCATTTCCTTAACAAAACTGTGGTCCTCGATACCATTTGCTTTAAGAAATTCCATGTAGGCGACTTGGAAAGCCTGTCCAATGGACTGGGCTATGAACTGCGCCTGAAACGCGGTCGATACCATTGTTAAGAAAAAAATACAAGTAAAGAAAACAAGAAATATTTAAATAATTATATATATAAACATGCGCAAGAGTCAAATGTCGGCCATTTACTAAATTAAATAATTACAATCGATTAATGCTAATTAAATAGTAAGATTATTTGAAAGTCGTTAGGCAATTTGTATCGTTTTTGCGGTTTAATATTAAATTACCCGTCGTACTATATTTCTATAACAACTAAAATCATATTTGTTTGTTTATAAATATTAATTTTACATTCTATTCACGTATTTTAATTGCTAAAAAATCTGTAAATTCTAGGCAAATTATAAATGAAATATACATGCTAGATTATATTTTTAATATTATAAATGGTAGTCAATCACGCCAGAACGGCTGAACGGATCTGAATGAACTTTGACACAGAGATAAATTATAGTCTGGATTAGCTTTTACTTCTTATCCCGGAAAAATGTACGGTCCCCGTGGGATAGATTTATTTTCGTAAGTCACTAGAGACGATTCTGAGCGAAGCGGGGGTCAGTCGCTAGTAAATAATAATGTTAGTAATGACGTTTAAGTTTTCTAGTTGAGCATAATATTTATCAATGTAAGTTATAAATAATAGCCGCAACGTAGCTAACGTCGAGGAACTAAATTTAACGGTGATTGTATTTTAAATTATTGTATATGATTTTACTAGCGTTGCCTACGACTTCTTCCATGTATTTAATGTATGTAACTCCACTCCTAAGCCTAATCTTTCTCAATAAACAGGCTATAAGATACAAAAAAAAACTTTCAAATGGGATCCATAGTTCCAAAGATTAGCACGTTTATACAAAAAAAAAAACGAAATATTTTTTTTTCTGCTATAGCATTGATATGCTATTATTTATAGATTTTATCTATGTATAGATTTTAAAAAAATATGAAAAAAGAGAATCATTTAGCATATCCTGACACTTTGAACTGCCTTTAGTATATTTTGAAACCCAAAACTAATCGTCCCATTAAATGTCACATATAAACAATCTTACCTCTTCACTTTCAAAAACGTGACATATCATCTTGGGTGTACGGTTCAATTTGGGTTGGTCCGAGTCATTTTCGTGTGGAACAAAACGCCTTCTCGCCATCAACACTACCAAGTCCCCAATATCAGCAATGTAGGAGATAGTTCGTAGAGCGTGATCCATCATTATCTCTTTCAGTTCAGTATTCAAAACCATTATCTTCTCTGTAGAAATGAACAAGTCCACCTCCGTACTCGGTTGGTTCTCACCTTCTGGTGCCTGAAACGAAATAAACCAATGAATTAATACTTTATAGAAACCAATTAAAGAACTATATTTCTACTATATTTTAAATATTTTACATACTATTATATATTTGACTAAATTATTTTAAAAGTAAAATGGCTTCAAAACTTACCAGGGCCTAAACATTCCAATGAAAGCATGTGAGAAGGTGTTTACAAATTAGTAAATGTCATACAAAGCATGCAAATAATGTAGGAGTCATGCACATTAGGTTTAAAATAATTTAGTTTTTTGAGATGGCTAGTGTGATTTGTGTATTGACTTGAAACTACGCGCTTTTGGTATCACTACAACAATGTAAACTAGCGTTTCGTGAAGCCGCAGACGGACAGACTTCGACCACAAACAAAAACGATAATCTTGTAAACAAGTTAAATTGAAAATATGGACGGAGACGTTCTCAAAAATCGTACATACATATAATGACAAAATTGAATAAATTACACATCAAAATTCTAGCAAATACATGTATGTACTTTATAATTTACCCTACTTTAATTATCAACAATAAAAATTACAATCCCACATAACTAACAAAAACTAGCCTGACATAACACAATTGGTGTGATTGAATCACGTGTACGACCTTAATTTTAGTGACGGCCTCTTCCACCATATTCTTTTTGGGCCTCTTCTTGCGCCGCCTCGAGTCCTCCTCGACCTCGACCGAGCCGAGGAAGGCGAGACGGAAGACGGCCGCGGGCGCCGCATACACGCCCGAGTACGGGCCCTCGCAGCCCCACTGCGGGACACACCGGCTAACCTCCTCGCGCTCTCACATACCGAATACCGTATAGTGCTGTCTCTCTCTCTCTCTCTTTTTCATCTCTAACTACCGCGTTTGTAACGTACTTTAAGGTGCTATGTTTTATGGCAGGTCATATATCGATTTGGTTGATTGTGACGCCTTGATTTAGTGTTTCTTTAAAGTGATGATAAAATCGGTATTTGACGCTTCTATTATTTAGGTACTGTGATTGTTGAATTAGCCTTAAAGAACGTTTGTGAATGGACCTCTTTTTTATAGATATTCATTTAGGACTTGTGACGTTTTAGTGAAGAGACAGCTGCCGAACCGTTTTGCTTGTTTTGAGATATTGCATAAATATTTTTTTATCGATACAAATACAATCGATATTGATAACCGACAGAATTCACGTAATTAATCTTTTATCTTAATCCCTTTGGATTACGCGCATAAGCTGGCATAAGCTAAGCCATAATAAAAGCTCGGTAACAATTCTCAAAATGCCAATCAATATGTAGTGATAAAGAATTTAGCATATTGCGACTTTATTAGCTATTAAAATATTAGACGATTTTTAAATTTCCACACCATACATGAAACTGCACCAAAAAAGCCAATTCGTTTGCAAAAGCAAGCAAAACAACTCGAATACACACAAATTGACAATGATATGTGAGAAGCGAGTTCGTCATTATGAAGCTGACCTAACGACCTTACACGATAAGACCAAGGTTCGATATTGTGCGAAGCTACCGTCCGTGGACACCTTGCCGGTGTGAATCGGGTATGTTCATGCTGTACGTGCGTGTATGAATAACGTGCGTGGAAGCGCGAGTATTAAAATTAGCGGAAGCGAATCGCGCTGTAATAAAACTCACCTTTAAATGATCATGCTAATTGAACGCACACGTCAACTATCATGTATAACAAAATCAACTACCGAATTACACTCGATTATGAATTGATTTTTTAAGAGACAATTTAAATTGTGGAAAAATAAAAAAATAACATATAATGATGAAGACAATACGGCTTTATGTACCCATAAAATCTGAAAAAAAGCAGTCACGAGGACTGCCGAAAGAAGTGAAAAACTATAAACAAACAGTTGTTATTTTTGGTTATTCAAATTAATTGTTTGATCTTAAATTAAAATTTATCAATTAAAACTGTTTACATTTATCTGATTTTGACATCTTTTAGCACTCCAGAGTGTTAGCGTCAACACGTCACGTGACCATGTCGATGACGACTTACATGAATTTACTCCCCATCCAAAGCTGCCTATATATAAGTTTTCACTTCAAAAAAACACAACGTCATTTTTCACCTAAAGGAGAAGGGTGCATTCAATAAAGCATAGCAAAGCACAAGCTTAAATAACAAACATGTCCAGAGGAGGCTAGCCGGCCAATACATCCGATTCCTGGGTCGGGTGTGAGGAATACACTGAAAAAAATACTCTAATGCGAAGTAAATAAGGCCGTAAACTGTTTGGCGGGCCACGTAAGGAGCATAGGTTTTCGTTACTATATGACTATAAATTACCATATTTATTCGGGCATAAGGATAGGAAATCCCACTAGCATTCTCAAAACACTAATCCTAGAGAGCATGAAATTACCAATATATCAGAGCTGCGTGCAAATTTTGCATCGGATAAACAATTAGTGCTAAAATCACACAAAACAAGTATGGGTATTTGACATATGAGGACTTATTTAAACAATACGGTAGGGATCAATTAATCAAAGTATGCAAGTCAAAGTTTATATGGAAAAGGGAACAAGGAAGGAACAAAATTAGAAAAGACAATATGATTTAAATATCCCATATATAATAATACATGCATTATTTCCAAAATAGCCAACAAAACATTATTTATATTTGATAAAACTTTTATTTACTTTACCATAAGTATAATCTATTTGTTAATTATTTTAAACCCAACATTTATCAATTCGTAATTATTTTTGAACTACAGTCAGATGCCCAAACTTTTAAACTTAATTATTTAATGCGATTTCTTGACAACTTTTGATATAACTAATCGATATTACAAGAACGAGACAGATGCGAGATAGAGCGAGACAGAGATAGCATTGAAGTTAAGAAACGATTTTCTCGATATAGTTGAAAACATCGATCTATCGAATAAATGTGCTAATTTTACAATATTATATGTTTTTGAATCAAGAAAATCGTCGAGCCAATGGAACACAAAAGGAAAGGGGACAGTAATTTCATGCTCATTTGAACTACAGATAATATTTGTATGGTATGTAACCGATTCACACGGGCAATGTATGGGTCCGTATTGGAATTATATGAGAATGCCTGTTATTTATTATTAACAATTTATCATATACTATATAATTATTATTATATATTAACTATATCTATATACTAATTTGTATTCGCTTAAAAATATTGTAGACTTTATTTTACTTTAAATTAGAACTAACCCAAAAATAAATAAACCCAAAAAGAAGAACACCCTGAGTAAATCAACATTTGCATAGCATGCAACATTACGGTAACTGTATCATGTTAAAAAATATATGCAAAAACAACTTCTTTTAAATTTATTAGTATACTTCATCCAATAAAATATAAGAAACATAACTTGCCCCATAAATAAAACAAAAAATATCCCTTTCAATAACAATAATTTATAGTAATTCTATACTAAAACCTAACACCCTATATATGCCATACCTTGATTCTGGATACGGCTTCTTCGGCCTGTAACATTCTGGTTGCCTTTGTGGGCTGACCTTCGCACGCCAGTTGGGTCGAGCCGAGGTATCGAGCTCTGAATAGAACTCCCTCAATAAGAACTGATGCCAGATCTGTAAATATTATTAACATATGTTTTTACTACTATTTAAATAATGTAATATATATGGTGTGAAAATAGATAAAATTTACCGAATAATAAGTTTTTTGAAACTAAGTTTATTGAGGCATATTTTTATTACAGGCGAGTAAAAAGCCTTTACATACTTTTAAAAAATATATAAAATATTAATTTTATTTTATTTGACATTTGTTTGAAATAAATGTCAAAAATAGTTTATCAAATTTATGTCATTTCCTTTTCAAACTCACCGTCAAATATTCCAATTGAAGCACGAGAAAACAGATACAAACATACAGTAATCATATATATGTATATAAACACTTTATATAAACATTTATTTATATAATACTTTTCTCACCTTCTTTATTCTTGCTTTTCTTTTTTCCATCCTTGTCCTACAATAAAAATTAAAAACCTAATGTTAATATTTATTTGCAAGGTTTCAGAGTGTATTTGTTTAAAAAGAACTAATAAATAAATATATTGGGACATTAACACACAGCACCATCTGGTTTCATGGTAAGGAGGAAGAGAGTTGTGCTATGGATACTATAAATTTGACACACTAGACATATATAACTTAAAATACATACATATTATAAATATAAGCACCCATGGCTGGAGTACAAAAATTCGTGCTCATCACACAAATGAACGCCCCCAGCGGGACTCAAACCCACGACCGCTGGCACAGCAAGCATTACAAACTGAATCAAACGTGTCGTCTATAATTATAATAATACTCAGACTAATATAGACTGGGTCTCATGGAACTAAGCATGTCAAACCAAAGCCAAACAATGATTTAAAATAGTACACAAATGATAATTTGTATACTGTGTGATAATAAATGTTATTTTTTTTAATTAAATAATGCTAATGCTTGCTGAAAAAAAAAATGCTAAAAAATTCAAAACAATATAGATTATTTTAATTGTTCATATTTTATTCCCAAAAAATTTATATTACCTAATAACTACATAAAATGTACCTTATTCCTTAAAGAAAGTAAACGATCTGTATGGCAAAATCGAGAATAGTAGCATAAACAGCACTATGGCTGAATAAAATTAGTTAAAAATAAATTAAATTACTATATATTGATTATTTATTGATATATTTATTTTTTACTGTTATTGGTAATTTTGTCGAGTTATTTCATTTTAGCGAATAACATTTATCATTTACAAATACATTACCATATGTCTAATATTATAAAGAGGAAAAATTTGTAGCTATTTTTGACTTTGACTCTGTCTATATAATTCTTTACTCTGAAATTTGATTGGAGTACATTATACATAAATACTACTTACATACTCATAATACTTCGTATACATCTTACCTTTCCATTATGCAACGTGTCATCATCTCTGTGATCTGAGGCATCGTGTGAATGGTCACGGTTGGTGCCGGTCGACCCGCCAGAGGGCATCACCGTACGGGACTTGGGTTTACGCCATCCCTTTGAACAAAATTAAATTTTGTTAGAAATTAGTTTAAATTATATAATAGAAAAAACTACATACATAGTGGGATGTGTATTTTTACATTACTAGCGTAGGAGCTTGACTTCGCTCGCGTATACTGTCGAAGAATCATGACTGATGTAACGTAGCGATACCAATAAAAAGACTGTAAAATGCAATAATAATTTCTTCAATTGGATTGGTAGTTCCAGAGACTAGTACATTCGACAAACACTTCAGTTTTATATATCACTAGCGACACACCCTCGCTACGCTCTGGCACGTCCCTACTTACGTTTTAACGTTTCGTATAGATTTCTCAGAGATGAGATATTTTCCCGCAATAAAAAGTATCTTGTGGATAACCAGCTATCATTATACCAAATGTCATCAAAATCCCTTCAGTGGTTTTTCCGTGATGCGTTCCCAGAAAGGAAGACACACAGACAGAAAGACGAAAATTCTAAAAAGTATAGGTTCGGCCTCTGTATCGATAATAATGAATATTTCAATAACATTTTGCCAAAAAATATTTAATGTACATATTTCACTCAGAATTTTATAATATATGTACATAAAATAATTATTTTTAATCCATAAGCTCCCCTTGCTATACTAATATAGTGATTATTTTTAATCTATCAATAAAATGTTATCAGTATGTCTTTATTTGTGTCGCATAGATATGTAGCGTAGCGATACAAATAAAGACTCTCTCTATAATTGTTTTTAAGTAATAAAATATAATGGTAGCTACAACACTCGAAGGCTCGACTAGATTTACCTGTGTATGGTTGGATTCTAAAGGGCTTCGCCGACTTTGATTACTTTTTGTGTACCTATTGGATAACTAATTGGCTACACAATGCAAAATTAATATCATCTTCGACTGGTTGGCCTAACGCTTAAATCGTTCATACAGACAAATAAACAAACAGCCTGTCTAATAAAAAAAACGTGTATGTGTATTTATGTACGCACGTAAGAAGTTATAATACGTGGCGTAACAGAACAAAAATAGCTAAAGATTCCGTATGTCACAACTCTGTTTGTAAAAGGAATGCAGCTAACTTCATCATGTCGCTTTTTGGCTGTTGGTGTGTGCGCGCATCGTAAAAATTTTACTATCATATTTTTTACCCAAAGTGCCAAAAAATTATAACTTCAAAAACACAAAAATATAGCTTGATAAATAATATTAGTATAGATTCAAACCATACAAACCTTCCTCCTAACTTTATCCCTTTTGTCACACCTTTCATCACTCACATCGCTTATTGAATCATCTCCATTGACTGAATCACTTACACTATGCTCTTTTGCTAAAACCTCATCACTTTTATTATTTGCATGATTCAAAACAATCTCATTAATAAATTCATTACAATTATTGTTTACAATATCAATACTAAGTTCACGAGATTTTTGTAACACATCGTTTGTTTCACTTAAATCACTGTTTTCTTCCACCAAAAAAGATTTTTCACTAGGAATTTTATTATTATCGACATTTTCATCAACTATTTCTATATTTTCCTCTTCATCCATTACGTTATTTTTAATATAAAAGCATTTCTAATGAAATTGATAAACATTTGTTATTTTCCCAGAGATGTTATCGCCTACACGTATATATTAGCGAGACGTTATGATAGTACTGACTGTCGGCCACCGATTGGCGCGGTGACTTAATACTTTATCAAAGATTAAGAAAAATATGTGATACAGTAGAAACAACATTTTTAACACGATTTAGTTACAAATATAACACATATTATACACTACTCATATAGAATTTTTTTTGGATTTTCTCAATCTGTTATGTATCTAATTAAAAATAAAAAAAATATGGGACTCAATAAATCATTACAATTCAAATATTAAATGTTCAATAAATAATAATATATAGAACAAAATCGATTGACATTTAACATGTCTCCAAGAGACACCACAACAGTGAGGCATAAACTAACAATCTCACATACGAATAATCTTTGACAAGTGTAATAGCAGAGCAAGGTCGAGCATTACGACTCGAACCGAACTTACTCGCGCTGCACTCGACAGTAGGCAATTACTTCACGCACTGAATCATCGCCAATGAAACGGTAACTCCCAATTAGGGCATATAAAAATATTTACCAGAAAATCGGACTACTATTAAAGATGCGAAAGTATGTATGTGTGTATATTTGTTACTTATTAACGCCGAAACTGCTGGACTGATTTGAATAAAATTTTGTATACAGATAGGCTATATATGAAGTGACGTACAGAATACTTGGAGAGTACCGAGGGTGAGTTGCTAATTAATAATAAAACAAAACTGGTGAATGTATTTATTCTTCGCTAGCGACTCACCCTCGCTTCGTTTGGGTTCGTTCCCTGGGTTGCTTCCCCACACAAATTTTCAACCCCTCAAGGGACGATTTCCGGGATAAAAACCTATGTCCTTACCAGGGTCTCAAATTATCTTCTTACCAAATTTCATCTGAATCGGTTCAGTAATTTCGGAGCCTATTCGATACAAACAAAGTAACAAAAACAAATTTTTCCTCTTTATAATATTAGATATATGGTTATATTTTAGGAAATAAACGACAAAATTAGTAAAAAAATTAAAAGTACTTGAGATTCTGTGTAAAGTTATTCGATAAAATAAAAATAACTCAACAAAATTACCAATAAGAGTAAAAATAAATATATCAATAATTAATCAATATATAATAATTTAATTTAATTTTAACTAATTTTATTCAGCAATACTTTTTGAATAATCGGAATTCGGAACCCAATTTACATAAAAAATATATATTATATATACCTATCTATATAACATATAAAAGTAGGGTATTGTTTACGACGTTCTTATCGCGGTCATTACAAACGAGTTTTAATGTGTGTACTGCTTAATGGGTTTCCGCGTTTAAAGTTTATAATTAAATATTAAATTATGTCATATTTATTTTGGTGTATTAAATAGCTTTTTTTTCCTTAATTACTTATTTTGTGTTTGTCCATGACTCTATTTGTGTACTACTAGCTGTGCCCCGTGGTTTCACCTGCGTTAATCAACACTGCTCCGCTCTTTTGGGAAGTAGTATGATGGTATATAATATATAGCCTTCCTTAACAAATGGGTTGTTTGACTATATATATGACTTTCTCCGGCATTGGTTGACACAGCAATGCGGGACCGATTTTGACGGGACTTTCACTGGCAGATAGCTGATTTTATAAGGAGTAACTTAGTACTACTTTTATTTTAGAAGAATTAAGGTTAGGCTCAAAAAATTAAAATGAAGCGAGGGTACGGCAAAGTAAATAATAAAACCGCGAAGGTGTGTTATTTTAACTTTAGAAGTAGGACGACACTTTACAAGTGTGAGTGTATATTTTTATATCGGATTTATAACTAATTTTTCCCTAAAATATTAGTATTCAGGAAAATGTGACTTAGTCATTTAATTATTAAAATGTCCGTATATTTTCAATCACTCTTCTTATTATTAGCATAATTTATTTTAATTTTAATCTAATTTATTATTGAAAATAATTATTGTCTTTCAATGCATATGAAATTAATTATATTTCAAAGATATGCCTATAATAATATATTTTAACTCACTTTATCGTCGAAAAAGCCCTGATCATCTGTCCTCTGCTGGCCCAGCAGTCTATCAGTCTCCAAATCTGTATCCGCTTCATCTGAAAACGTACAAAAAAACTGATAAAAATTGTATTATATGATTATTATATTACATTACTATAAAAATTTATAGTTACTTGTACTTTATCGTTACCTAATCAGATGAATTTCGAAGTCGGTGCCAGCCGATACAAATTAAAGCACACCGACTTCGAAAATATCTGATTAGGTATCTATTCTAAATGAAAATCCGTTTATTTTTTAAATTTTAATGCCTGGAAGTCGGTTTTTTTAAGTTTTTATTAGAATTGTCCTTTTGTGTTTTGTAATTTAGTATTTATATGTTTCGTAATATAATACAAGGGCTTTTTATTATTATACTTATAATTAATAAATATTTTTTTTTTTTTTTATTATATTGTTTTTTTTTACTACAAGTAAATAAGTAAGGTACCTTCATCGCCACTCGCAGGTTTTATTTCAACGGACTCTGTACTTTGGGCTGAAGAAGGCCTTTTTCTGGAACAAAGAATATACATTTAGTATTAACTATTCAATTTTTAAATTTTTTTTTGTAAGTGGTTTAGTGGCTGTACGGCTGCAAATCCGGAGATCCTGGATTGGAGTCTCGAGTCGGGTCAAGTTTATTTACTGAGTTTTTCAGTTAAGAAATTCTCAGTAGCAGCCAGGAGTTCCACTTCGTGCCTCGGAGAGCATGTAAAGACATCCTGCGGCTTAACTCTCACCAGTCATATCGAAATATCGTTCAATCGAATTGGAGAGGAAAAGCAACAGAGTACACTCGTGTCTGCGTGAACATTTATGCACTATAATATCTCCAGCGCATCTGGCTAGTCTCAGTGAGATTGGCCGCCGCGGCCGAAATTGGTCAAGAGGGCATTACGTGCATATAGGGGGCATCACCCATTTATTATCCATAGACTTGTTTAGAAAATTTATTCATTATATGCATGTATAATATAATCTTATTCTTATAAATGTAACGAAATTGTGGCATATTTTTTTGATATCTCCACGCGTGCCTGAGAAAAACAAAGAAAGACACTTGTCCTGACAGACAGACAGGCAGACGGACAACGAAGTGATTGTATAAGGATTCCTTTATTTCTTTTTAGATATGAAATCTTAAAAACAGGAAAAGAACCAGCTCACCTGGGGTACACGTCGTCGCGCGGCGCGTGCGGCGCGTGGGGAGTGCGCGGCGTGTGCGGCGCCGTGTCGGGGCGGTGCGGCGCGGGCGCGGGCGGCGGCGGCGCGGACGCTACACGAGGATAACGATTAACACACAAAAACAATCAGTACCTCCAATAACCATGATTGCTGTAAAGCATTCGAAAATTCGAGAACTTATACATTATCTATACATATAATAAAATTCTAAGTAGAATATGTACATCAAATGTTTTTTGGAAAATCTTATTAGAATAGTCATCATTATCGATACAGAGGCAAAATCTATAGTCTGTCTGTGACCGCATCACGGAAAAACCACAATTGATAAAATTTAGTATGATGATAGCTGGCTATCCGGGTCAACATATAGGATACTTTTTACTGAGAGAAAATATCTCATCTCTGAGAAATTTATGAAACTTTATGAAATACATAACCAACTTTATAAAATACATATTACGCTTACCTAGTGGATCTAAAGAGTGTAAGTCGGCGTCGGATAACATGTGAGGGTCTGTATTGGTTCCGCTATCTACAATTTCTTCTATTGTCACTGAATGTGTCTGTAATGAAAATATATACACATTTATACATTAAACTTTCAAATATCTCGCAATAGAAATATTTTATGACATATTCATAGCCCACATAAAATTATAGCCATATAGTGGAAGGCGAATCATCGTCCGCCAAATATTCAATCTGAGACTGTTGAGAAGGCGGACGTCGGGTAGTCTCATCCAATGGCCCACTTTTTTAGCAAATTCAAACACCATTTCATTACACTATTTAATTTTCCGTAGCCCCTCCGCATTAATCGGAGGCCAACTGTGGGCAATTCCCTATGGGTTACTCAGAGATGCTGTTTACATACTGTTTTCATTTCCACTGTTCACTATCTTCTATATCAATAAAAATGAATGTTCGTATATTTATTTGCCCCTATCTGTTCCTAAGCCATGAAACCGATTGTAATGAAACTCTGGTGGATCATGGCGGAAAAGATTTTCGTGTTTGCTGAAAGTTAGAAAGAAAGTTTTAATGCATTCCTAAGCCATTCAAGCTTAGGAGCATCCGAGCGAAGCAAGGGTAAGACGGTAGTTGTTATAGCAGATATATCATTGAAAAAGTATAGCCGAGTAAATTATAACAATAATAAAAAACAAAACTATACCTGTAATATCGGGTTATTATTGTCTGTGTCGGACGCGTGTCCCGAGGACAGACCATCTTCGACGATTGGCAGCGCCCTGCGGCTCGGTTCTGCTGCAAATAAATTATCTGAGTACTTTTATAAATGCAAAAATTTGTGAGGATTTACATATTATGTTTATTATGCGAAAACCCTACCCTACTCTTTCATGCAAAATAACTAACTACTGGTGTATGGAATATCAATTATCTGGTATCCATAACACAAGCCTCGTAGTTTACCATGGAACTAGATGGAGCTGTGTGGATGGTGATGTTGGGACATTAACACACAGTACCATCTAGTTCCATGGTAAGCTACGAGGCTTGTGTTATGGATACCAGATAGTTGATACATTATACATATATAACTTTAAATACATACATACATATAAATATAAACACCCGTGACTGGAGTACAAACATTCATATTCATCATACAAATGAATATCCCAGCGGGACTCGAACCCGCGACCGCTGGCATAGCAAGTAGAATCAATACAACTGAGCCAAACGTGTTAAGTAACTATAGTCTACATTAAAGTGTTAAAGAGCCACTACACAACATCCGTACCTTTCATCTCGACGAGCTCAGTCTCCATGATGGCCATGGACAGCTCGCTGGCGGTGTCGCTGGCGGTGGAGAGCGCGAGCGCGGCGTGCAAGTCCGCATGCGCGTGCGCATGTGCGTGCACGTGCATGTCCGCGTGCGCGTGCATGTCCGCGTGCACGTGCACGTGTGCGTCGTGCGAGGGCGACGCGCACGCGCTCGTGTCGTGCGCGTGCAGCGCCTGCAGCGCCGCCACATCTGGCGTCGGGAAGCGACCACGTTGCTTTTGCTGAGGACGTTGAAATTAATAGACATAAAAATAGTGTATTTATTGCCATAATAAAATGGCATGTTATAATTTAATGTTTTTACAGTTATATATACTAGCTAATAATTATACTAGCTTTCTTGTTTATATTACTTGCTAAATATAGTTCATGATATGTTGGATGGCCTATAACGAGTTAATATATTGTTTATTGAATGTAATTTTTTTTAATTCAACTGAAAGTTTCAGAGATAAGCTCGTCCAAACAAACAAAAAGTTTATTCTTCAATTTTATATGTTATTAATAAAGCTAAATGTAATAATTATGCCCGCCTGACCCGGCTAGGCCGGCATTTTCCAACACTAAAAAAAGGGCGGTTAATCTCACAAAGACTAATCATCTTCGCAAAAGTTATATTAGTACACAAATATGCGCGCAGACACAACGTGCAAATCTTTTATGTTATTATAATTTAATACGTTTTAATATACCTGCAATCCTAGAAAATCCGTGTGGTTATTGAGCGCGTGCGGCGAGTCGATCCCCTCGTTCTGAGGCCAGTCAGACTCACTGCCCTCGATACCGTTTTCCGAAGGACAATCGTGGGTTTGCCTCCTGAGTTCGTAGTCTAGTTCCTATAAGTGTTTTTAAATGTTATAAATAAGAGTATCCCTTCATAGGGTTCCGTAAGTAAATGTTTTAAATAAGGAAATGATCCATTTTTAGGGTTCCGTAACTAAAAGGCAAAACGAAATCCTTATAATTTCGTCATGTATGTATGTATGTATGTTTTAGGGATTTTACTCGGAGACTATTTGAAGCTATATGGTTGAAATTAAGTAAGTATTAAATAGGTGTATATGAAACATTTAATAATTTTGCAGCCAAATATAGGGGTAGCTTTCTATTCATTCAACTCGCAATCGGGTAAGTGCAAGTCAAATTCGTACTTTTCTGATTTTATTAATTTGATGACTTCGGAACACTTCTTGATTATTAAGTAAGTAATCAATCATGATAATTGCTTTGAATTGTGGATTCGGATGCTATTGTATAGGAGAGAGGGCGTAACATATCACTACACAGTATAAAACAAAGTCGCTTCCCGCTGTCTGTCTGTTCCTATGTAGGTATGTTCAGATCTCTAAAACTACGCAACGGATTTTGATGCGGTTTTTTTAATAGATAGAGTGATCAAAGGGAAGCTTTATATGTATAATACATGCATATTATAGTACAGAAAATCTGAGAAATTCAAAGATTTGTATTTCCTATAATCGCTAAAACGTACCTAGGGACGAACCCGAGCGAAGCGAGGGTGAGTCGCTAATGTAATATTTATACACAAAAATCGATACGCTTTAGAATGAGAACTGATAGATTTTTCTACTTTTTACGATCTTTTTAAGTAATATTATTATACCATAATAATATACTATAGAAATGTTCTTATAAATAAAGCAAATCCTTGTGCACTATAAGGTATATATCTAATCAAAAAGTATTATTTATTAATATAAAAAGGTATAAATTACAATAATCATACTTGAAAGTTAACAATTTCATCAGTGCTATTTTTATGCTGGCCGGGCAGGGTCGGGCACCTGAAGAACTCCTCCAAGACCTTTCTGGTCTCTGAGAATTCGTATAAGTAGTCGAAAGCGGCAGAACCAGGCGGTGGAGAGTCATCTCTGCTTTCTGTTACCACTCTCTAAAAAAATTACATATGTACATTCTATAACGTATCTTTCTGTATTTCTTTAAAAACGTCTAGCTTCGATTCTTGCTCGAATCAAATATTTTATATATATTGGCCACAAATAATATAATATAATTTACGGTAAGTGTATTTCTTGAACTTCCGACATAAGGCCTCAATAACCTATTCAAGTTCAAAATATTATATTAAGCATTACATTATAATTGAACGTCATAATTCTACTAAGAGTTCGGAAAGAAAATAAGCCTGAGAAGAAATGGCGTAAGAAATGCAGGGGGATAAAAATATCCTTTTGTAGTTAAATTATAAATTACAATATTCCTATAAATATTCATCATATCACATCAATGGCAACATTCAATAATAACTTAAAAAGATTACACATTTCACAAACCTGAGGGAAGCCAGGCCTGGGCGATCTTTGAGTCTTCTGCGTGCCAATACCATATCTTCTTGGTGAACCCTCATATTCTGCTATCGGTAATTCCCCGATCACCCTTGTGACCCGTTTATCCTCATCTCCCGATAACCATATCCCCGTAGGACTCCCCTCACTCAACCGAACATCTTCTCTGGACCGCGTAGAATCACTATCATCACTCATCTCACTTTTATTGTTCAACACATCACTATCACCGTTTTTCATATTGTCTAAAGTCCTTTTAACACTTAAATCGATCTCGTCGTCACTGGCATCCGGGTCCATCCTCAAACCTAGGGACACAGAATTCAATATAACTGAAAATAAAAGAAGAGAAAAAAAGGTTCATGAGTTATGATTAAAGGGATGGATGGAGATGTTAACTTCTGGTTAGTTCTTGGAAGAGCTCTGATTTTGGTTATATCAAAAATATATTGACATATTGTAGAACTTCCCACAACAACCATTTTAATGTATGAAATAAAAAAAAATCTAACAGTATTTATTCTATAAGAACTTTTATTAAACACGACAACTAAATTCGTGATTCGCTGATTCAGCTATAGAGTTACATAAAAGCTCTTATAAAAGATCACTACAGATATAAAGTTCAAATCATAATACGACGTAAAAAATCTGAATAATCAACAGAATTACTTATAAAAAGGATAATGATAGATGATATCAAAAACTAAAAGCAGTTATAGTAGCTAATAGTTCTTTGTAGATATATAGAAGCTAATATGTATTTCTGAAGCGATACCTGAAAGGAAAAACATTGTTATTCCGAATCGGGATGGTCTAAAAATGGAAAATAATTTCCCTTATATTCCCTTATAAGTTACTATGTTGTTCCTTGCAGGAATCGATATATAGCGTTGTATATGTTACTCATATAAACCATGCGGTTAGTGGAGTAAAGTTTCGTTTGCGATCAAACTTCATATCCAAAGACAAGCCGTCTTCGTGCAAATTTCATATAACTTTTGTGAATTCTATTAAATCATAGCAAAGCGGTTGTAATTCTGCGCGAAACTTGTAGTGAATATCGCAAATTGGTATCGGTTCATAGTTTGATAAACTAATTTATCTATAATAAATGTTATTTGTGAGTCCCGTCCATTAAATATGTTATTAGACTTAAACCAAATGAAAAATAAAGTATTTTGTAAAATTTTTGAACATTGAGGAATGTAGAAAATACTAACTGTTCGAATACAAAACTGTAATTTATATAATACATTCTCTTGTTTTATTGGAGGTTCAAAACACAATTATTAAGCCAGATATTTACTCAGGTGTTTATGTTTAATCAAATGCTTAGCAAAAAAGTATATTGGGAAGTTACTGAGTTGAGAAAAAAATCTGAAAATTATCCCGTTTAATAAAGATAGCTAAACAAAAAGAAAAGTTGCAAAAGAAATGATAAATAAAACAATCACTGTAAAATATACTTAATTTCAAAATTACCTTTCCAGTCATCATTTTCATCGAACACCATAACTTCACCATCGGCTACGACGGCGATGGGGCTGCTTTTCGCACTGACGTCATTAGTTTTATGAGGGTCCAGAATGGGGGAACTGTTTTTGGGTATTCCCATTGTGTTTTGCTCCAAAATCGATTCCCGGTCACCGTTCGTGTACGTAACCGTAACAGGCGACGTGTGTCGAGATATCATTTTTTTGGGCTCATTGCTTATTCTGTGTATAGGTATCTGAAGTGGAAGTCGAATAAATAACTGTGGATGTAGATTTAATCTAGACAGATAGATATATTTATTCATGAAATATATGGAAATGGAATTATTTGAGGTTTACTAAGAGCCATATCAAAATTCTCAAACGTTCAGATTAGTCAATCTGGTACACCGACTGAATTAATTTCATTAAATACTAAACCTATCTATCTTTATCTAACTTATATATCAAACGTCAAATATACTCACTTCATTATTAATATTATTATCTGTATAGTCGACGGTATCTTTGGTTAGAGACCGCACTTTGTTCCTCAAGTTGTGCTTGTGTGTGTTGCTGTGCCTCAACTTGCGCACGGCTTTCGTGCGACTTTGAGAGTATAACTCTCTTCCACCTGCTATTTCGATTATCCTGGTGAAAAATATTTATTAAAAAAATATAAATCTTATAATTTAAACGATATGTATATATAATATATAAATTTATTTCGTGTATCTCGGTAACAGCTGTAACTACTTAAATCAATTTGTGTATTTAGATAAGATTTTAATTTTTAAGTTTATCTAAATAGGTGTCTTTTCCAAAAAATACGATTTTACACAATGATCAGTAAAGCTCTGTCGTCCAGGTATCTTAGTTTTATCCTAGTATAGGAACTAGGCGTTTTTAAATTAAATCAAGGTTGTAATAAGATAAGCATTAAATTATAAAATGAGAAGTTTTGTTAATTAAATTAATAAATAAAACTAAACATTAGCACTAAAGTCAAAGTCTCAAGTGGAATTAATATATAACACAATGTAGCTATATATCCTACTAGCAACTCACCCTCAAACTTTCATTTTTACCTCCATATGGAATGATTTCCGGAATAAAAAATATCCTATGTCCTTCCTAGTCTCTCAAATTATCATCTTACCAAATTTCATCTAAATCGGTTCAATACTTTTGGAGTTTATTCGTTACAAACATACCAAAATGCAAACTTTCCTCTTTATAATATTATATTATAATTATATATTAGTGTAGATAATTCATTATTCATAAATGTAGGCATAGCGTGTTGTACGCCATCCTAATGATGTGTAATCAGTAATATCATAATAAAAACTTTTATTTATTGTGAGAAAGACGTAGATAGATCGATATCTACTAATACTGCGTCAAACGGTCGTAAATGTATACATACGAGTATAATTTTATTTCTTTAATATCGACATTTTATACCCGTGTATATTTCTTTAAACTTTTAGCTACAACGTTCTGTGAACTCGAATTTCAAAATTGCAAATCCGCAGCTGTTACACAAGACGTTCAACGTAACACCAATACTATAAAGGAAACCTAGCAAATATTAAAATAAAAAAGTAAAATATATTGATTTACAAAAACTAAACTAATAGAAAAAGAAAGTAAAACGAATATACCTATATTTTCGGAGTATTTATAAATGTACTGAAGACCTAAATAAACTTGTGAAAATGTTACCCATAAAATTTTAGCTGCAATATTGCGTGGCTGGAATACGAAAACCCGTCTCGACGTAATTTGCACGACATCTGATTAAACAACTGTGATTATATCTCAAATATATACTGATACAGAGTTCGAGGTATTTCGTAGATTGAACGGATTATAGTGCTCTATTAATTTGAACTTGTAAATAACAAGATATTAACAATCTCATTCAAAATATCAATCAAACTAACAGTCCTTTTAAGAGTATTTTTAGAAATTTAACAATACACTAATAAGTAGATAGGTTTATTCTAGGTATATATATATTTGGGGAGAAAGCAAAAACAACATAATGGACCCATTTTCCGCAGCCCATTGTTGATCCAGACGTATTTTTTCCTGATAACTCTAATTTTTGCTTTTAAGATGTGAACAAAGATCCTATACCTATGTTTGTACCAAATGATCGACTACAATATGTATTATCTATCTAAACTACATAATACACTTTCTCTATGAAATGTTTAAAAAGAAATGATTATAAGTTTTAGAAACCATGCAGTTTTTAGTCTTTTTGCCTTCAAAAGAAATCTATACTAATATTATACAGAGGAAAGATTTTTTGTTTGTTTGTACCGAATAAGCTCCAACACTACTGGACCAATTTAGATTAAATTTGGTATGAAGATAGTTTGAAAACCTGGGAAGGACATAGAATAGTTCTTATTCCACAAATCATCCCTTAAGCGGATGACAAAAGGGATGAAAGTTTGTATGGGAAATCAACTTAGGGACGAACCTGAGCGAAGCGAGGTTGAGTCAATAGTATTATATTATATCTAGTATTTGGACTATAATTAAGTTAATTAATAAATAATAATAGTTTAAATAATAGGTATTATAATAATCCCTGTATTATTCTTAGTTAAACATTCCGAAATACAAAGCTCTTTTCTGAAATAAAAATGAAAATCATACAATACGCTCACTCTACCTGCAACATAGCTTTGCAATTTTATTCAAATTTTTACCCAATTCATGTGCAAATATAAAAACAACCGCCACCCTGTACGAGTATAACTAGAATATTCGTCACTTTGTCGCAACAATTCACATGTTGTCTGTGTAAACAATGCCATCTGTGCAAATGTTTATGTCGGAATCCGAGTGTACGGGCGCTTGGAAGAGCTGTGCCTGAGGCTAGAAGTGGCGCGACTGGGTGACTAGAGACCCACAACTAAATAGATTGTTATTAGAGGATTATCCTACTATATCCTAATATTATAAAAGTTTATGAGGATGTATGGATGTCTGGATGTATAGATGTAGGGATGTTCGTTACTCTTTCACGCAAAAAACAACTGAAATGATTTTAATGAAACTTTACAATAATATAGCTCATAGGCTACTTTTTATCCCGGAAACATGTACGGTTCCCGTGGGATAGATTTGTTTTTGTTTTTCTAGAGACCAACCCGACCGAAGCGAGAGTGAGCCGCTAGTATACAATATCCCCAGGTATCAGACGGTCGCCTGTTCAAATCGCATTACGAATCACAGACTCTACATTTGTACGTATACAGGATACTTTCATTTATCCGGTGGACATTTATCAAGATTTTATAGGACAGTAAACAGCTACTCTTAATATATATAAACGTCCAAAAAACTACCTCCATTGCAAGGGATAAAGGACGAAATCAAATTTTATTACCCAATGCATTATACAAATTGTGATGCCATATACTTTTTTCCTATTACATACGCATTTTATGATATGATATAAATATACTTAGTTTGGAAGTGGGCCAGCATTTCTCTCTTCTCTATCTATACTTTATATTCCATATAGAATCATATACTTAAAGAATCGAATAAAGAGTTTCAGTAGACAAAAAGGATTTAATATTAAAAAGACGTACCTAGAGTCTCTAAGCTTGTACGTGCCACCCTTCGTGTTGAGAATGACCGGCTGGTCGTCCCTCTCGTCGTCGGAGGATGCGTTGTTTACACTGATCATGTCTCGACCCTCCAACCCGGAGTTCAGTCTGGAAACATAAGAAATAAACTCTACTTTATTTCTTTATCTACATTCATACATAAAAATAAAAGTTATTCACAAAATCGATTTGATTGAGAATGATTTTTTTTAATAAAAGCAATAAAAATTATTTGCAGGATAACATTTTCTCCAAACCTGTCCCATTTTTTACACGTGACGAGAATACTTTAATAACAACAATATTATATTTCACTAGGACATTATTGCGAATTCGTATATTTTATAATTATAAACTAGCTGTGCCTGGCGGTTTCACCCGCGTTTAATTAGTTTGATTATAAAAATCAGTTTTACAATAATGTATGGAAGTCTGCCCGATTTGTCGACATTTATGATTACTGCTCCGCTCCCTTGGGTAGTAGTATGATGATATATAGCCTTAAGCCTTTCTTAATAAACGGGCTATCTAATGCAAGAAGAATTTTTCAAATCGGTTAAAAAAAGTTGTAGTTTCTAAGATTAGCGTGTTCAAACAAACAAACAACAAACAAACAAACAAACAAATAAACAAACAAACAAACAAACAAATAAACAAAAAAACTCTGCCTCTTTATAATATTAGTATAGATTACTAGAGGAGTCAACACTAAGAACATACTACATATATCTGAGGACAACGATAGGTACACTTTTTAATTCACCTTACACAGTTGCGAGCAACTTATGTAGGTTTGTACAATGTACACACATATCAATTAATTGAGATGAAATGTAAATGTTTGTAACATAGATACAGATATTTTTTTCTCAATGTGTTTTTACTAGTTATGGTGAGGTGGTTTCGTCAAAAATTAAAAAAAACACACTGTAAATAAAAAAATATGATATTAAATCTAGTATTATAAAAAGCCTATAAGCCTAAAAAAAGTATATTTTTAAGCTTAGGTACTTAAAATATTTAACTGAACACTCGCTCTAACATAACCTTGCAAAAAAAGTTTGATTCATTCGTGGGACAAAGCAAACTGTCTTTACATCAGTTACTAAGAGCACATGTTATTTATAATAACTATTCTCTCTGTTTACGTGCAAGGCATAAAACTCAGAGCTGTAATAAATAATACATATAAAAGCTCCGACTGCATCTTTAATGAGATGTTAAACATTTATGTTAGCAATTTAGCGCACTAAGCTAGCATCTAGGCTATTTATTAAACCCAACAGCTCTAACTGTACCCATCGTAAGATCGCGAGTTTAATTCCCGTACCATGTACATATTGATCTAACCACTAGACTAACGAGGATCTCTCATATTTAAAAAACAAACAACTGAACAGGAAGTGAAAGTATAAACATATATATAATAAGCTTAAGTAGTTTTAAAAAAGCATTATCATGAATTTTCCAGATTTTCTAAAGTTATTCGTGAATAAAGTTTAATAACAACCAGTGGTCATAGTAAAGTGGGTAGCGTAAGCTACCGTTACTCAGTAACGAAGCGGAATGTGTAATTTGCTAGTGCAGTGCTCACAGACAAAACTCGTTAGTCATTAATAAAACTTCATCTACCTACATAAATCTTCAAAAACACAATTTAGTTCATCCAATAGTAGGACAGATACGCAAACATGTTGAATATTTGCCAAGATTTTAAGTAAAGCAAAGCCAAAAAGCCATTAAGTATTCTTTTTCATGTTCCAAAGTAAATCTACGAGTTATCTCTTAAGCCATCATGTGTAAGTTATTTTATACATATACATACATATCTATACATAGCACCATAACTATGTAGAAGTTTTGCATAGCGATTGGTGATTCACATTTCACCGAGTAAAGTATACAAACGGGAGGAACTACAAATTACAAGGCACACTCCGTCTTGCATTTTGCATCTCACGTACTGATTAAAGGGCTCCCTCGCCTTGTGGTTAGTTGAAAATCGGAAAGTTAGAAGCAAGTAGGTCGTTACGTGCGGCGGCAGTTTGTTATCGACACGCGAAAAGGTGATTACGCTCATTTTCAGCTACGGTATAATGGCTTGGTCTGGCAATGGATCGATAGTGAAACGATCAGGGGTCTTAGACTTTATAATAACCGGTTTCTAGATTTGATATTGTGTAGACAGTTTTAATTTACGCCGCTATAGAGAAAGTTTTAATAGAAACAAATTATAAAACATCAAAATATAACAAAACTTAAAAAATTTATCTATGTCAGATGAATTAGGGGTATTTAAGTGAGAATGAACGAATGAAATAAACATTTTTGGCTGGATTTATATGTTTTGTAACGTTGAATATACATTACATATGAAGGTGATTTGGCTAAAATAATTGTTTTTTTTTTTAATTAATGAGTCCTATGAATATGCATCAATTTGCACATTTTCTTTTTATACATACTTTCTTTTATTATAATTAAAGTATTGGATTATAAAATCTTTAATTGATATTGGTTGTAGTAGTCCAATGTAACATCCTGGTACTTCTCTGATAGCAGAGTGGACCGTTGGAGCAACCCCATGACTGTTGCTTCGGCAGACCTGCCGTCGAAGCGTCGTGGTTGAGTGCGTTAGCGATCTTGCCATGCCCCATTAAGACGGGGGAGGTTTTGTTGGATTTTAGTGGATAGTACTGACTTTTTTAGCCGGTATGCGTAAATGCAGTTCCCAGCATTAAAAAAAATAATAATAATAAAAAAGTCCAATGTAGCACAAAGTACAATGAACATCACTACATGGTTATTTTAACTCTTAGGTACATAAATTGTGCAATGTCTGCTTCAATATTTTTTAAGTTTCATCCGACATTTTTCACCTTAAACCAATACAAATTTTTAATATTAAATAATTTTAGCATCTTAATATTTCTGGGCGCTAGAACACACCTTACAAAAGGAATAGACAACTAGGCATTCTAATTAATTGTCAGAACTATAGAAATATATTTTCCCCCAACAGTCAGATCGCTAGTACTTCGAACACTTTTACACGCCTCATAAATATTATGGAATAGATATGACCTTTACTGTTCGATCGTAAAACATCGATATGATATACGTTAAATATCTCATAAGATTTAGGTTATTATCTGAAAGAACAAAAATGAAGACATGGGGGTATGTTCATTTAAAATCAATAAAAGCTATTTTATAACAGTTACATAAAAAAGTTTATTATTTTTAATAGTTTATTATATATATATATTATAAAATAGTAAAATTTGTACATAATTACGCAGTTTATTTGCTACTGCTTCCGCGCCTATTTGATTCCGATTATAGTTTGTTTTCTAGAAATATCTAACTAATACAAAGCGGATCTATCCTTCCGACTCATCCCGTTTACTATAACGCTAAAAAATAAACAAAAAAATATATGGAAAATATAAAATATCTATCCCCTCTATATTTTGGCTTCTATTAGCGATAGCGATGCAGGACATCATAGGAGGCCTTTAAACTGCTAATGTGATAGCACGCGGCACAAGAACAAACCTGCGTTCGACAACAGACCTGTCGTGCTGATGCTGCATCTTGGGGCGGCACTTGGGGAAGAGACGCGTAATGCGCTCGCCGACGTCCGAGCCGGGCGTGGAGTCGCCCGCGGCGTCCCGGAGCGCGGCCGAGCTCATGTCGCCGGCGCCGCCGTCACGTCGCCGCCGCCTCTACCGGCAACGCCACTCGTTTAGCAATCATTGCTTTCGCTATTGTAGAGCTTAATTACGTGCAAACACTCGTATTGTGAATATTTGCGATATATCCATTGATATGAAATCATTACGTACACAACTCGTGTACTTAAACACGTACGTACGAGCCATATAGACCAATAAAATTGATCATCGCAGAAATATCTAGAGAAGTGAATTGAGAGTGATTTTGCTATAATATATGTTTGAATTATAAATTATATTAAGTCATTCAAAGGATGGTAACCAAAAATTACGATAACAAATTAACAAAGATATCCCTAACATTTGGCTTTAAAATTACACATTACCGTAAGGCGCAAACTAAAGTATTAATTAATGTATGAAATACGTTAAACATAACCTATTTTGTCATCTCTGTTTATATTACTCAAAGCAAGAGAACAGCTAGGATTAATATGATGATCAACACAATTTATAGTAGGTGAGTTAATCCATGAATGTATGTTTGTGCGTTCGATATTCCTTCGTACTAAAAAAATGGACAGATATTGGTGAAGTTTAGTATAATATAATCAGAGAAACTATGACCTAGACTTAAACAGGCTACTGTTAGACACCTAAGAACGCATCCGAGCGCAAAATTATTTTGGCATCTATTAGCGATAGCGATGTAGGACATCACAGGAGTCCTCTAAACTGCTAATGTGATAGCACGCGGCACAAGAACAAACCTGCGTTCGACAGCCGACCTGTCGTGCTGATGCTGCATCTTGGGCTTTGTTGTAATTCACACACACATATATATATATATATATATATATATATATATATATATATATATATATATATATATATATATATATATATATATCTTTGAATATATATGTTTTATCTTTTAGTTATGTTAAGCGAGTATACGATTGATTACATATCGTAGCAAAATCACTCTCAATTCACTTCTCTAGATATTTCTGCGATGACTTCTTTTCGCTTATCATTATACTACATTTTCGCTACTCTCTGACTGCTACCTAATACCTAATATTATGAGAGCGTAATTTTATTGGCAAGCTAAAAAGCACCTGTCGGCGTTACCACAGAAAGGGGACCAGCTGTCGAATGTAGTAATGTAAGCGACCGGACACTGCCGACACTTGTAATAACCCACGTAAGCTATTCTATTTTATTTTTGAAGAAAATAAAAATAAAAAGCCCTTTTTAAACCTATACAATTTCATTTAATTCAAACACAGATATATAGATCACTGTTTAATAGTTATAATTTGACAAATATGTAAATATCCGTAAAATAATTCATATCTCAGGTATGTATATGAAAAACCTATTAAGTAAAAATGTACTCTTGTTAAAATGTTTCCACGCATTTTTTAGATTCTGTGAAATTGTTACTGACGCACAATGGCTGGCGCTGCCAAAAACAAAATCGATCCCACATTAGCATTGTGGCTGTCCTTTCAGCGTGGAAAAGTGAACATTCACATGTATACTGTAATATTCATGGGTTTTCCTCAGAACTGCCTTGTTTTAGATAATTATTATACTTTAGCAAATATCGTTCATTTTTAATAGTGTTTATTTCTTTCCTTCCCTATTGTTATTACTATATAATATAGGTATATTATATCTACTACTAATATCTATGACATGTGAAGTCCGCCAACCCGCACTTGGCCAGCGTGGTGGACTATGGCATGATCCCCCTCGTATTGAAGGGAGGCCCGTGCCCAGCAGTGAGACGTTAAAAAGGGCTGAATACAATACAACTGTGTGTAATATTATAAACTAGCATTGCCCGCGGCTCCGCCCGCGTTCAGGTGACCTATAACCAAATTCTTAGGTTTTACATATCAGTATACTCTTACATTGCAGTTTTTATATTTTTTCTCAGAAATGAGATATTTTCCCAGGGTAAAAAATATCCTATATTTTGACCCGGATAGCCAGCTATCATCATACCAAATTAGATCAAAATGTATCCAGTGGTTTTCTCGTGATGCGGTAACAGACAGACAGACAGACACAAATTCTAAAAACTATAGATTCGGCCTCTGTATCGATAATAATTACTATATAAATAAGATTTCCCAAAAAATATTTAATATACAGATTCGACTCAGAATTTTATTATATGTATAGATAAGTGAAACGAGGGTAAGACGTTAGTACATAATAATATACGAGTAATATATTCAACAAACGTAACTGCGACTGCAAATATCAATAACAGCATTTATACGTGTAGAATGTTAAATAACAAAGTGTTGACACAAGAAACATCAATTTTAGCAATTTTGTTTGCAGAAAAGTGCAACTTCGTATTAAACCCTGCAGGCCAACAAGCGTGGGTCATGGCACGACCGCTGACGTTGCCAAGCTTTGCGATCGATAATGTTGTGGATTAAACTAGTGATCAAATTACATACTTACTTAAAATCTTGTATTTTCGTCGGCCTTTGCGATATAATATTCTATTATTAATTTTAATTATTAATGCAATATTCAATAGATTTTTTTTTATATTCAGTCTTCTGCCAACACTATAAAATCTCAAACATACCGCCAGTACGAAAGCCATACACAAAAGAAACGTAGAGACTGAGAATTTGCCCCCTTTGGTGTAAATCTAGCATTACATTTATATAGAACGTTTTTATTGCCTCCGCCTAACCCTGGGCCTTTGTCGCCAATTTGTTCTTTTAAATACTCCGGGGAAATGTTCTCTTTTACTGCTTGCTAATTTTACTCTATACGTAGGTTTTTATGGCAGTGCAATATGAAAATTCTTCGAGCGCATACGGTTTGTTCATAAAACTGAAAATTTACAGTTTACTTTCCATCGTTTCATCATAAAAAGCATAGGGAAAGTATCAAGACACAATCAAAAAATCCCTAAAACGTGGCTTCTATTAAATATTTCCTAACAATAACAACAATTCATTAGTTAAACTAGTTATAAAACAGAATTCATCCTATTTTATATTTGCTCCAGAGAGTTACCTGTTTATTATTCATGATCTCGAGTAATTGCTGTTTGTTAGTGAATCTTAAGTCACTTTGGCAAGCAATGCTTACCCAACTTATTACTCAACTGAGAATACTGAATGCAGGAAACTGTATTACAGCACAATATTTGAAATCAAACTCCCAAATATTTCAAGATTATCCTCAATTTTCCGTACGAAGTCAGTTATTGATTGTATATTTAAAAATCTCATATCCGTAAGTTTTATGCGTCTTTAGATTTCAGGTTTCTAACATCGTTTTATTAATTTTTTTCATGCATAAAGGAAGTTTCTAGTCTAGACAGGAGGATTTGCGTAAAATCTTGAAATAACATGGAAAATCGTAGAAAAGAGTATCTTCAAAGGAAGGATAGTGGATTAGGAAAAGAATATTGAGCGTAGTCGTCTTTGAAAAATAAATTTAAGGGTTGACTGAGCATTATCAAGTTCTCTTCTAGTCGACCAGTTTAATGAAATTAAGAGTTAAAATCATAAGGATATGATCTAATTTCGCTTGGAGCACGTTAATTGCTGAGTGACCGGGATGATATCTTAAAAGACCTTACACTTCGCCAATTAGCGCGTCTCCGGTGGGGTCGCAATTTAAGCTATGGACTTTGTAGCGCGCTTTTATGTTATCTACCTATTTTGCATTCTGTTTCATCATTCATGAAAATAAAGTGAGAAGTTAAAGTTACTAACCACTTAGGTACTAACATTTAAATAGTTTTGAATGAAATATAATTTCTCAAAAAAATATATTATCTCTTACTTTAAAGTCACTGTAGTATTGTATATTTTGATTCAGTACTCATGAAGTATTTTAAAAATATCACAAAAATTATAACTGAAAAAACTTGGATTAGACAAAAGCAATCACAAAAATTCGTTTCTTAAGAAAGCTAATCCTTTATTTGTGACTTTTTGAACATGGAACAGGTTTGATTTTTTAATCCATAATACTTTCTTAGATTTACGCAGATATTTGACATTTAAAATAAAACTATCTTTTCGGATTTTTTTGCAGATTTATTTTGATTTTTGGTTCCCGACGTTTCAAATACTTTACAGCGATCATGGTCACGGAACTAAGGTTTTAGACGTCTCAAAGGTTATACATTTTAATCCAGTTATTTATCTATTTTCAAAGACTTCCTGATTTTTCCTTATAATTATTAATGCAATGTGTTTCTAAGCGTGGAATTAAATTTAATTTTCCAAATGTTTACAACTTAAATTGTATGTACAGTAGGCAGTTGCGATGCTAATCATCTTGGTAAAACCTATACTTGTATATATATATATTAAGAAGTTATAGAGCAATAACTCTAGGCACGTGCAACTCATAAACCAAACAAAGGTATAAACATCTTGTTTATTATTATAGAAACTTATATTCATACCAAAGTGTAAACATCGAAGAAAGTTTGGAGTAAATACTATCTCTAATTAAGCAGGATAAATAAGTTGCGATTAAACATTGTTTCATAACTTTACAATGATGGAAGGTTGGAGGAAAATGCGAAAAATAATTATTTCTTACGCCCACTCTGGCGTAGTTGAGTTAATGAAATGAAACCACGACGGTTAGTCCGCGCTCCGCATTCGTACTGGGAAAGATATTAAGGCATCATTTTAAAAGAATTTGTAATACGTATAAATTCGTATATAAACATTTGTATATAGTAAAAAATAAAATAAACAAATACGTTGGGACATTAACACACAGCAACCATCTAGTTCCATGGTAAGCTACGAGGCTTGTGTTATGGATACCAGATAGTTGATACACTATACATATATAACTTTAAATTCATAGGTACATATTATAAATATAAATACCCATGACTGGAATACTAACACTCGTACTCATTACACAAATGAATTCCCCCAGCGGGACTCAAACCCGCAACCACTGGCACAGCAAGTAAGGTACACACATGGACGAATTGTGGTTAATTCGTTCATGGCATGGACGAATTAGAGACTGGACCTGACATAAAATACAAATGTATGAAAACTAGTTCAACCAAGTGACGCATAACGCACACAAAGATTTTATTACATTATTATAAACACTGATACACAATACAATATTTCTAGTGTTTGAACGTAATCGATAAAATACATATATCGATGAACTAATGAATGACATTTTAGACATTGG